TTGTTTCCCAAGTACTCTGAAGAAGTGATGTGAGTTTTTTTTAACTGGGTAAGCAAAAGGTAGTAGCTGTTCAGCTGGAAAGCCAGGACTAGAATTTGTAACAGATAGACTTTCAAGAAACACTTCTCAAATATGCCACAAAAGACATTATCACAGAGAGACCCGCAAAGACCCTCTCTGTCAACAAAACCCTCTCAGCTGGAAAACGCAGCAAGTGGCAAAGGCATCTCTACTGTCAACTGCAGCAGTACTGGTGGACCAACAACCTTTCTTAATGGCAAGCCAAGTCCCAATGGGCTCACCAGGAATTCTTTCATTTCTACTATTTCTCTGGGGGATCACGCCAACCTGTATTGCGGAGGAAGGCCTGTATGCCAGATTCGTCCAACCAGTGCTGTGATCCAAGGAGGCTCTGTTGCCCATATCAACCGCCTGCAAGGAGAACTTGTGAGAAAACGGAAGGTCAGTGGCTATCTGTCATGCCTTAGTAAACCAAACAGCTATAATTTAATGTAAAAACACATTCATTTTCGAAAAGATACTTGCTTTTCAAATTTGCCCTTTGCATCATGGTTCTAAGTGGCAAAAATTCTAATTTTGTTACAGATAATAGTAAGTTCATTTTTTAGAATGCAAAGGTGCCATCTACTTTATGAGCACAGACACACTTAAGAAAATGCTTCCATCCTGCACAACCGCAATCTTCTTCTTTTCTCTCTCAGCTTTCAAATTGTTCTGTTGCTTTGCCCCTTTATATATATATTGACGGATAACAGTTGGCTATCATTTGTCCTGTTGAAATGTAATAAACAACACTTCTTAAAAAGTGTATTCATTAGGATTATTCTGGGTCCTCGCAGTCATTTCATATTACATGAGATTCTTTATTGTTTTTCTATCATGCTTCTAGGTGTCCCCATAATTCTTTTACTATTTCATGAGATGCATTCAGTATATTTCCTGTCCTTTTCTGAGTGTATAGCAGGAAACATATTTATATGAATAGAAGAATATTGGCAAAATGCCAGTGTTAAGAAGGCCTTGTGTTTTTCAAAAAAATTTGCAAGACTCCATCCACAAGCTGTGGAAAATTTCCAAAGCAGGATCATGAAGGAGACTTTGGAGACAAGATTCTCTCTCTGTGTATACAGTATATGTATCTGGGTGACTATATGCGCATTGTTTAAATCTGATTCCATATTTGGGAGTGGAGAACAATACACCTGACTCATAAGGACAGAAGCTGTTACGTGTTACAGTTGCTGCCTTGCCCGGAGAATGTGAATATCTGCATGTAATTAACAGGGGAAGTAATGCTTTTGGATATGTGTGAGTTAACATGCTGTTCTTGGGCAGATTGTCTCCTGTCACATGTGATGAATCTGCTTGATTGGTGATTATTACCTCCTCCATTTCTTTTTTTTTTTAACCTTCTTCCTCTACATGCAGATTTGGAGAAGACACAGACCAGACTGCACTGGGGTGGGTTTCAGAAGTCCCAAAGTTGCTGGCTTGGAGTAGGTTGTTTGACATGCCATTGCAAGAATGGCCAGCTGACAGCCCATGTGCATCACCTAGCTCATGAGATGACTTTTGGTCTACTAGGAGATTTCTTTGTTGCTCACTGTAAAAGGATGCAGGATTTGCACCACTCCTGCACTGGGGAGCTGACCAGTGCTGATGTGTGTTTTGTTAGCGGCCTTCTTGCCCATACATCAGCCACCATGTTGTAGTAGAGGAAATGCTGCTGTTAACTCTGAAACTCCTGATGCCTCACCTTCTTTTCAGCCTCATTGATGGGTTCCTGATTGCAGTGTCATATCTTTGTTTTCTAAATTATTAATGGAATTCTCTCCAGAACAGAGAAGCCACTGCATCTTCCCTTTTAGAAAAGCCTCTTTCTTGAGCTCACACTGAGGTGGTCACTTTTGAGCCAGCACCAAAAAAACAAACAAAAAAACAAAAACAGAAATGCATCACTAAAAGAGAGTACAAAATGCATGTGCTAATTTATATATTATATATGAATATTTGTTATAAATTAACTTGCAATCTAAATATCAACACACTCCATATATATATGATTTTAAAATATTATATGTATATGTGTGTATCCTGCATATGATAGTTATAACATAGCTGCATGCAAACCCAGATTGCTGTCCAGGTAGTTCATTACTTTTCAACCCAGAAGAGAATCAGACAGCGCAGAACAGGAAGGGCAATGTGTGGCTGATGAACCACACACACTCCCACCTGCTTTTACGAAGCTGCACTAGACCACCATCAAAAGCCAGTGCAATTCTCTTTTAATGTGAGCACACTGGAAGCATGTGATGAATTTCGCTCCTGAAGCTCCCTGGCAGTGGAGTTCAAATTAACAGCAAAGTGTTTGTCTCTCCATCTCCTTTGAAAGTACAATCATGGGTTTTTTGTGACAGCAAATTTTCTAGTTTTTGCTATGATGGCAAATTCAGTGGGGCAGCAGTGGGTGTGACCTCGCTAGGTTGGGTTGAAGGGTTGACTCATAAGTTATCAGTCACTCATTCTGGTGTCACTCTGGGACTGCGTTGTTGCCTATATCTGAACAGGGGAACAGGGCACTCAATCCCCTTGGCTGCGCATACTCTGAGCCATCTTGGCTTTTGGGGTGGGTGAAAATGTCAAATGTTAACCTGTGCCCTCTTATCCATCCCACATAAATTTAACAGATTCATATGCATATTTGTTAAATTTTAAGAAGCAGTAGGTGAAATCACACCGTGATATTAAGACAAGAACTCCCTTTTTATTATCAGGAGTGTGAAGAACTGAAGAAGCAAAACAAATGTTTGTCAAATGAGCTGCATATGGAAAGAATTTTTATGAAATCGGAAAGTGAGCTTGGGATGAGAAACCTCAGAAGTTTGAACCACGGTCTTCAAACTACAGTTAAAGAGGTATGGGAAAATCACCCTGGTTACTCCATTTTATTGTGGTAGATAAACCTGACATTTTAACCCAGATTACACCCCGCAGACTATTACGTTGCTGTGTTGGCAATCTGAAGATGAAGCACAAGGACGTCATATGTTCTGCATCTTTGCTATGCACTCCAACAGGAAAAAGTTAACTCTTCCAAAACAACTCAAAAGCCAAAGTGTTAATAGTTGATTTAATCTGAAGAGATAAAGGTCCAAAGTGAGGTTAAAGTATAAAGTCAGCAACAGAATTAAAAAGTTAATTCAAACAAACTGCAAATCTTCAATAACACTTTAAATGCCTGGGGTGAGCAGGGCCTCATTGGCTTTACAGTGAATTCTGTGAATTTATGGAGGCTTCATGAGGCCATCTTCATTAAGAAGATGAATAATGATGGACAAACATTGCTGAAAAGCAGCCAAGATCATGCCGATATTCCTGTTATTTCTTTAAGATGTACGGTAATTTTATTTCATACAGGAATAGCATGAGTGAGGCCTAAGAAGCCAGTATACTATGTGAAGTGGATTGTGCATGCTAAAGTAAGTCTCAGAATCAATCTGCATTTGGCATGTTGGATTGTCAGCAAGGTAGAAAGTGTTAGGTTTCCAGCAACACAGTAAATTGTCTTATACTGAGTCAGACCACATTGGTCTGCCTAGCCCAGAACTGGCAATTTTAACTGGCAGCTGCTTTCCAGGATTTCCTGGATAGGATTATAGTGTAGATAGGATTATACCTTTAGTTAATATTGAAAATAAAATGTTAGAAAACAAGTGTTGCAGATAAATTTGGTAATCATATGGGAGCTGAATCTCTCAGGTCTATAACTGAATTTTTTTAAAATATGGTAAAATGAAATAGCTGCTATTATCCCAGTCATGATTCTGTACATTGCTCCTCTTTGACTTACAATACTGTTTTCTGTTAACTTTGGAGTAATTATCATTGTGAGAGAGACAGAAGAAGAATATTATATGGAGACATTAATTTCTGACTTGCTTTTTTGTTTTTGTTTTTTAATATCTCCAGTTCTTTGGTTACCGAGAACTGAGCCTTACTAATGAATATTGCATGGGCAGTTTATGTTTGGCTGGTTCAGTCTCAATATTTGGGCAGCAAGTGCTATTCAAGGTCTGCCAAAGCATTTGCCCAGGGTAAGGATATGTGGGAGGGGGTGGGGGGGACACAAAGTAAAAGTAACTCAGGTGAGACACACTGCTGATAGAGAATTGGTAGATATTGGTTCATAGGTAGGCTTGCTATGA